TCCCCTCCCACTACCCCCACGCTCTATTACGGCAAAGTGCCCACACTGCAAGCAGCTTTTATTAACTACTTCCAAAGCGCACTCCAGCTGCACATATAAATTGTTTAACTTTTAACGTTGACTTCACCGAGTTCTGATTTATGAAAATATCCAGAGCTGAATATAAATCTGACAAATTCTGGCACGAACTTCAAAGTAAATATTGACAGAAGCAGTTCACTAACTTTCAGCTTGTTTCTATGTTTTTTCATAATTAAAAATAGTTGAATTAGTAACTTTTAAGCTCTGCGCCAACTTATCAATCGCTGCCGAGGCATTCCCATTGAAACGTTATCAATTACTTAAATATTCAACATATTTTGTGGCACTCTGGCACTCTGCTAATGATACAAAGTAAACGAGCTGAAAATCCTGCTGCTAATGATGAAAATTCAATTGGCGCAAACTGTAATATGGAGCAGCATCGTTTTTATCAAATTATCAGTGACACCGAGCAACCGGGAGCCGCGACTTGGTCAGCCACGCGGGATGTTCGCACAGTGTGTTCATCTTTCCGTTGGCACAGTTTAAGCCATTTTCATTTCTGGTCGACAGCGACGGCGACGGCGACGGCACAAAATGTCGGTCACTTGCGGTTAAAAGCCAAGCCCACCTACACCTACAACCTACCACGACCCCCTACGGAGCCTCACAGCTCACGCCACTCGCCTCCCTCTCGACTGCGGTTGCCTTCCATCGCTGCGAATAGTGCAAATAGCGAGGAAAATTACCTAATGCGCATTTTCTTATTACAGAAATGTGCATAAGAAAATGAACGTAATGAAAAAAACACTCAGCAGCTAAAGTAGCCACGCAGAGCTAGCTGACGAGCGAACACACTTCGATGGGCACAAATATACTTTGATAAAGCTAAATAATCACAATACTCCATTAGGTTCTAAGCTTGGTAGATAAAGATTTGGCTACGCTGCAGCTGCAGCTCATTACTCGGAGAGCTTTGCAAGTGAAGTCAGAGGAGAATCATGATACGAAGAGCTTCTCAAAGTGACTGCATGATCAGACTAGTTAGAGCTTTTTCTAAATAAAGTTGCTGCATGATTAGAACAGAGAGCTTTTATTGGAAAGGTGACAGCAGGATCAGTTCACTTAGAGCTTTTGTAAATATAGTAACTGCTGAATCAGGCCAATTAAAGCTTTTTCTAAGTAAAGCAGCCGCACGATCAGATCACTTAGAGCTTTTCTTAAGTTCAGTAATTGCAAGATTAGAGCAGTTAAAGCTTTTCCCAAGTAAAGTAAATCAGGCTTGGCAATCTCAAAGTCAGGCAACTCTTGAGCTTTATCACTGCCAGTGAGAATGCTTTTGACGGCTACCAAAGCTTGCTGAGTCTTAAGTCTGTATGCTGCAATACAAAATAAATGTTACATTTCGATTTATAGGCAAATTGTTACATAAATAAACTTAAGCAAGAATATTATAACTGCGACCCTAATACAACTCGCAGTAAGGGTATTTTATGCTCAAAAATCAGAGCGGAAAATCACAAAGGGCAGAGTTAGAGACCGACTGAGTGCGACTCTGAGGTGGCAAAGTAGGGAAAAAAATGTAAATGCGCCATGCAAATGACGCAAAATAAAATGTATGAAATTGAAAATGAGAATGAGAATGAGAATGAAAATAAGCAGGACGAACTGCGAGGGCTGGCGGCAGATGACAGCTGGTAGATGGTAGATGGTAGATGGTAAATGGTAGATGACGTTGAGGTTGAGGCTGTGCACAAAAAGTGAAAAAGTGAAAAACTGAATAAGTGAAGTGAGCAGAAAATGAAAAATAATTAGCGCAATTAATGACCACGTAATTAGAGCTTGAAATCTGCAAGCAGACAGCCAATTGGCTCGCTGGTCTCGCTGGCCGTAGCTCGTTCGCTTTGCCACAATGTGTGCCGCCCGCGCGCTGGCAGCACTCGCATTACCTTATGGCAACTGTGGTCATGTTTGATAAATCTATCGGCCAACCAGCAGCGAGCGCCCACCCACTCAGCTTCCTTTTGTCAGCCGATGCGCGGCTCTGGACGACACGCTAATGAACGCGACCCATTTGCCCATTTAGCTATTTGCAATGCGCATTTTCAATGGAGGCTAAATTCAGGCTGCTGTCATGACATTTCTATATCAGCGCCATCAATCAGCTGCGACTAATTAAAAATTGCCTTTGATAATGCCAAAATGGTAATAAACGAATAAATGACTAAGCGGCGAGCGGCGAGGGGAGAGTAAATTCAAATGCGAATGCACACGTTTGCCATTTGCGGTTGTGTGTGTATCTGTGTGTGTGTGTGCCTGGGATTATGTGTGTCAATGTGGTTGCTGCGCCACAATTTGTCAAATTTTAAGTGGGTTGAAATTGATGCGTACTAAAATTAATGCCGCAATAGGCGCACTCAAGTTGGGCCACAATGGGCAAGGCAAGCGCAAACACACGCGCGCACACGCACATGCACACACACACACACACACACACACAGCTCGAAAATATCTTAAGAGAGACAAGAGCAGCGCTAAACTTATAAACAACTTAAAAATTCATTGTGTGCACATGATGCCCAACACTTGGGCGCCGTGTTCAGCCCGTGGGCATGTCCATGTTGGGGTATAGAAAGAGCGAGAGAGAGCGAGAGAGAGGGAGAGACTTTGAGGCTGCCTTGGACTGAATGAAAAACGAAAAACTGTCATCATGTGACGGGAATCAATCTAAAGTCATTTTATAACCCGAAGAGTCATAAATCTAACTTTAATGTTGCAAACGTGACTGCGGCACGAGGCAACAGCAGCGCCACCAGTTGTGTCAGCTGCCCAATGGCAACGCCTGTGACCAGTTGTGCCAGCACCGCTCCGCTCGGCTCAGCTCAGCTCAGCTCGCTCATGTTAGCAAAAGAAGCTACCAACCTCCGGCGCTCGAATTGGAAAAGTAAAACAAGCAAATGAATGTATTTCCGTTTGGGATTTTTCACTTTCCGGCTACGTCGCAGCGCTCTGAAAAGTGTTGCCCAGGCAGCCACACAGCTGCCAAGGTGGGCTAGCTGGCAGCGAGGTGAGGGCATGGGGTCGACAGTAAAAATGACAAAACGTCCACATGAATCGAAGAGGGGAGCCAAAGGTTTTTACTCTGCGCTGGCTGCCAAGCAAAATACATAGATAGCATTTTTATTAAATGGGTATCAAAACTATTTTACGTGTTTGGGATCATGGTTGAAAAATGCTGCAACTGCTCGCACTCTCTCTGTCTCTCTCTCTCTCTGCCTCTCTGCCTCTCTGTCTGTCTCCTTCTCCGCCGGCGTGCGTGACTGAAGGCAAAGCAGCCAAGAAACAAACAAAAGAATAGCATGCTTACGTGCGCCCCATAAAATGCATGTGCGGTCAAATGGCGAACGCCAAAGACGAACAAAAGCAGACACCAAAGACATGTGACTGTGCCGCTGTGCCTCTGTTTCTCTGTGTCTCTGTGTGTCTGTCTGTGTGCGCGTGCAAACTGGTTTAATTAAGTATGGCCGCAAACAATGAAAACAAGAAAAAAATACAACCAACAATCGTAGCCCAGATTGCAATATGGGAATATAAACGGATGTTACATATCATGAGAAGCCAAGTGCAGTTAATTATATAATTGCGCTACTTCTGGTTAAGCAACGCCCAGTCAAAATTGTATCATTTAACTAGCTGTTAAATGCTTCAATTAACAGCTATCAAGCAGATCTATAGACTCGCCTAGTCGACAGCTGAGGACTATGCAAAGCCAGCTGAGGCTTGACTTGGCTTAGCTTGTTCCACACCCAATAGAAGTTCACGACTAATATATACCCTCACCTGCATGGCGAGCTGCTATAGCAAGCATTCTAGTGCGCTTTAGTTTAGCTTGGGTATCTAAATTCAAAGCTTTGTTTTACGGCTCAGCTGCTACTGCCATCAGAAGTGCACGACTTAGGCATACCTTCACCTGCTTGACGAGCTTACAACTCGAACATTCTAGCCTTCAGGCAGTCAGCGCTGCAACGTCTCGTCTGTTGACTCTAGGGAGCCTTAGTTTTGCTTGTCTTTGGTTCAACTCAGGGACTGAAGTTACTGGCATCAGAAGTGCACGACTAAGGCATACCCTCACTCACTGCTAGCCTTTTACAGCGTCTTATCACTAGAGTAAATTCTAGTGAAAACATATTCATATACTTCAGGCAGCTGCATACACCTGCTACTGCCTACTACATAGATGGCAACAGAAACGGTATGCCCTGGCTTAGCCGTTTGCCTAAAGTTGGGCATATTCAAAATAGTTAGTTATGCAACTACTGAATTTGTTGTAAAATTCTTTTGGCCATAGTTCGGCAAAGTTCTCAGCTGCATATAGAGTTACTTCGCTCTTTTAATTGTTGTTGCAATTTAACAAAAATATGGAAAAAGAAAAACAAATGAGTAAAACTTTGAGCGAGGGCAAAACGTTTCGAGTCATGCGAAAATTGAGAGCATAAAATATAAAGTTTTTACTTTTAGCTAATAAAATTGCCAATTTAATTGATATATATATATATATATATATTTATATATATACATATATATATATATATATATATATATATAAATATAATAAAGTTATTTAGCTATATAAATTTCAAGTGAAGTCAAGGCTTTGGAGGCGAGGCTCAGTGGAGGCAAGTTGAAATTGCGCAAGCTCTAGAGCCTCAGTCCAACTGTGTATAACGCCAAAGCTCGAATTATTTATGTTAAATAACAACAAAAGGAAGAAATTTTATCGAATGGCTTAGCCCAGCGCTTGCGTATGTGAACGGAATGTGGTAAAGGAAAATGCGTATTTTAATATTCAGCTGTCTGGCAAAATTTATTGACACGTACACACAAATACACTCTGTGTGTGTGGGCGACAAGGGACACAGAGAGGAAGAGCAGTATGCGCAATTTAATCAATATGAAAATCTTATTATTCACTTACTCACATTTGTATGCAGAAATATTTGAAGTCTCTTACCTGCAATGAAAGTAAAGAAAAATGTGCGAATTATTTTGATGTCATTTTATTATTATATTATTATGATTATTATTATTATTATTATTATTATTATTATTATTATTATCGTTATTATTTGAGAATTTGAGAGGCATTTGTAAAACTAAAACCATTTGCTTGGGGTGGGCCTCATTTCAAATTCAATTTCGCTGCGCAAATTGTGAATGTTTTGGCGCTGGCGCATTTGAGCGACAATTTCTGAGCTTTAATCACATTGCGTTCATATTTAATTCATTTTTTATTACAATTGCTGTTTGGTTGTTTGCCCGTTGCCGTAATTGGAACGGTTATTGTTTGATGGTCACCGCAGCTTGCCTTGCGGAGCCCAACCGCAGACGCCATGTGCCACCCACCCGATGCCCGGGCCCGCTGAAATTGTTATAATTTAACAAACAATTCAATTAATGCAAATTACAATGGGCCGGGCTAATGAATATTTAACGATTTAACTAATTTCATTTTCAAAATATATCTGCGTGAGTGACCCAGCCCAGCCCAGCCCAGCACAGCCCCAACAAACAAAAGACAAATATACAATCAAAAATCCCGTCCCCATCCAAACAAACGTCGGCAGCAACAGCTTGAGAGATATGCGGGCAGGAAATCGATTGTTAATTGAAAATTGTTTACTCACCGCAAGCTAAAGGCGCCAATCAATCTATCAACCAGTTAACGGCACGCAGCACTGCAGCCACCAGCTCCCCCGGCTCACCGATTGACAGCAGTTCAACTTATGCTTGACAACGAGCCAATAGAGAATAACCAAGCCACAGAAGCTCGGCCAAATACAAAACAAACTTCAACCTTCACAAAGCCAAAGACAAGAAATAATTTTGCTATCAACGCTTGCTATTCTGATTGGCATTACCATTTCGACCATTTACAGGCTAATTTAATAACAATCTAATTTTTACTGTCTGATTGACTTATTCCATGAAATGCTAGTTATTGGCATTGCTCTTCAGATTATTATCGTAATTCTTGCTTTTATGAATAGAGAATATAGCCAAAAAGACTCAATCTAACTATCAGTCAATCAATCAATCAGTGAATGTTTATTAAATAAACCAGTCAGTTAATCAATCAATTTTCTTATGAATCATCAATCAATCGAATGATCAGTATAAATCAAACAATAAAAGAATTAGTCTACCAATCAATCAATTAATGAAGCAATCAATCAATCAGTTTGTCTTCAGTCTATATGCAAATCACAAATGATTGAAGCAATATAACTATCAGTCTAACGATCAAGCAATCAATCACTCAATTGATCCACCCATCAATTATAAATATAATAATCATCGATCTATCAGTCACTCAATCAATCACTAAAGCAGTCAATCAATCAATCAATCAGTTAGTCTTCAGTCTATTAACAAATAAACAATTATTCACACAAGAAATCATAAAGAACATCAGTAGATCCATAAGTCAATCAGTCAATCAATCAATCAATCAAATGATTAATCAATCAAGTAGTCACTAATCTATATACAAATTAGCAATCACTCAAAAATAGAGCATTCTAACATCAATCAGTCAATCAATGAATCGTTTAATCAGTTCAGTTGATAAATCAATCATTTCTTCAGTCAGTCAATCAAAAAATCTGTCCAGCGATTAGTCACTCTATCAGTCAGTCAATCAGTCGGTAAGTAAGCTAGAACATTCAGCAAGTTAGTCGAAAGTACACATAGTCAATCAATCAATAAGTGAGATTGTGACTGACTAATGTGAGAGCTACATTAGAAGATCTATTACAGCATCTGAAACTCGAATTCCAATCGAAACTTTCATCTGTATTTTAGTTTTACAAAACACAAAGGCTCTGTCATATTTCTATAAAATAAAAACAAAGTTTGTAATTGAAATACTTCGAGTTGAAATCGATTTGCCCGACTTTCATTTGCAACTTGTTAGCTGGAGTTGTAAGCGAGTTGAATTTGGAAAATATCGAATCAGAACTTGATATCGATCCGTTTGCATTGTAATGTATCTTTTGCTGAAAGTATTTATCCGATATGCACGTACATAGTTATTTTCTGAATTCCTGAGTTGTTGCCCTGTGGCCTGTGTCGTATAACTATTTATATGGAAAAATCGCTTTGTGCTTTTTGGGTCTTTGGCTTCTGGCTGCTTCGGGCTTTTGTAAAAACAGCTCTAATTATGCCACTACGGCTTCGCTGTTGCTTCTTGTTCATTGTTGCTGCTGTTGTTGTTGTTGTTGCTGTTGCCGTTGTCGTCGCTTGGTTTTTTGTTCCAACTTTGCCAATTTGGACATTGTCGACAAAAGTGAAACAACTTTTAGCCAGCCAGGCAGCTCCAACTTCATTTGACTACAATATTGTCGTCGATGTTGCGTCTGTTATTTTGTTGTTTCTGCTGGCTACCATTTTGGTCGTAGTTGTTGTTGTTGTCGTCATAGCTATAACGTTTATTAATAAGTTTGACTGCACAATTATTGTTGCTATGCTGCTGTTGCTATTCGTCTGAAACTGTTGTTTTTCTGCCTGACGCCCTACCTTGGTCTTAGCATGACTTGACATGAAAATGGCTCCCGAAATAGGAAAAGCGCTTACCAAAAAAAACAAATAATAAAGGTCGGCCCAAGCGGAAGACAGCGCGTTTAGGAATTAGAGCAAAGTGCACTTTTTGATGACTTTTGATTTGTTTTACGATTTCCAGCTATGAATATTTATTGTCATGCCCATGCCCAGACGGTCGTCAGTCTTTAAAATGCACGAACTTTGCTGTCATGGCAGCAATAGCAAAAACACAGAGCGGCGACAACAACGGCGCCAATAACATTTCGGCAAAACAAATTGACACGCAGCATTACTCATACGCCCCGCTGGCCGTAAGGCAATGAGGCTAGATAGCTCGCTGGCTGGCTGACTGGCTGGCTGGGTACTTTTTAATTGATGTTTATTTAACGTTCAACATAATTAACTCTGTGGCAATATTTAAAGCATCGTAAATGGGCATTATACGAGCCATTAAATGAATTTGTAAACGCTTCACTTGAACTAGAAGTCTTGCCTAATGCCTCGAGATGCAAACTTTCATTTTATGCGTGCCGAGATTGCCGTTAACGCATTTCATACCAACCCATGGCCCGAGTTCTTTAGACAGTGCCATAAACGCAGCAAGGCGAGCATTAACACCGTCGCACAAAGTTCCGCTCTTCGTATTCACAAGTAGTTTGCCTGCCAAACTGTCTCCCGCATTTGGTGGCCTTTACGACTTACAGAGTCGCATATAAAAGCAGCTGTTGCCCATCCCTCCCCAGTCATAGTTAGCAGGCAGCAGTCATCAGCACCGATTTCAGCCACATTACAATGTAAAACTGAGAGCTGAATATATTACGAGCACTGCGAGCAGCATGAAAGCTTTCCGATCTTTATATATCTATCAAGTTTCGAAGCTTATTTGACAAACCAACAAAGACCCATGTGTATAAATATATAAAATATATGAACAAATAAAAAAAAGTATTACAAAGCTATATAAAATGCAAACAAAAATTTTTAAATATTTATAAAAACTATATAAAAATATCTAAGAAATATAGATACAAAATATATTACAGCAAATAAACATAAAAATAAGAAAAAAAATATTACAATTTTGTAAAAATATGTTTATATAAATAACTAACAAAATGTAAAAAGTATATTTAAAAATATTAAAAATATATATGAAAAATATACAAAACAAAAAATAATTAAAGAATATATGTAAATATTTTTATAAATGTTTAAGATACATATAAATGTTTCTAAAAAAAATATATAAAAATTATATATATTTCAGGAAAAAAAATAAAACTTTCATAAATATTTTAATAATTATAAAACATTTAAGATTCTTTAAATACATATTATTGTAAACACATTAAATTATCTGTTGCTCATGACTCATGAAGTAGGAAATCAAATGATCAAATTGATAAATACAGTGAGCAGGACCTTTGAGGTTCGATCAAGATATGCGAGTTAAGCTGCAGGAATGCTGTGTAGCGTGTGCTGATAGGAGCAAGTCTCTTGTCGCAAGCTGCAACGTGATGTAATTAATAAATCCACTTGACAACGTTCACTTATTAATTCTTTAGGGCTAAATCAAAAGCCAAAAGTGCAAGAGGCAACTTTTGCCTGGCGTACGTGACCAATAACAAGAAATTTCTTATTTACAAGGCTGCACGAGCTGGCTGCACGAGCTGCCTGGCTGGATGGCTACATAGATGCATACATAACCGTCATGAACATGTATCTGGCTGCCTTTGTCAGCCGGCATAGGCGACAGTCCTTGCTGCTGCGCTGCCATGTCGTCATCTGAGTCATTGTAAAGTCAGTGGCCTAAAAAAATTATGAAGTTGCTCACTTGATCGTGCAACGTACCTTTTGATTTTGTTGCCCAGCACTTGGCACGTTTCAGGCAACAGGAATTTCGGAGACAGGGTAGGTCCGACTACCCATTCTCTCTCTCACTCTCGCTGCCTCCATCGCTCTCTTTCTGGCTGGTGGCTTACAAAATTAGCACAGCTGCTGAATAAATCAAGAAATGGGCAACGCCTGTCTGTGGATTTATCTGTCTGTCAGTCCTTCAGCATGTTCGCACATCTCGTCTGTCTGTCTGTCTGTCTGTCGTGGCATTGATTGTTTCGCCTGATGATGTGTGAAAAGTTTATTTGGCCAGTAAACATCATGAAATGCTAGACAAATACACAAAGCCAAATGCGAAATAGTTGCAACAGCAACTATATATATATATATATCCAGTTGGACATGCTATCTACGAGCGACGGCCAGCGGAGTCGAGAGTGAAATGGTGGCAACTGCATTAAGATCAGGCACCAACCAGCAGGCACCAGCCAGCACACATCAGCCATCAGCCATCAGCCGCATCAAAACAACACCAACTGGGGCAGCATCCGATGCACAGGCCATTAAATGCCCAGA